TCTTGAGACTACAGTCTAGATCTGTTCATTCTTTGTCTCTTGTGTTTCCTTGCTAGGAAATGAATACATTAATCCAAGTGCTAGGTTTTCCTGGAAAGAACAGCCATGGAGTGGGATAAAATACAAGACTGAAAAGGATCTTGAGAGGGTATATCTAAACCATCTCCAACCTGGACTTTAAATCTGACGTTTTTACCATCCGTGTCTCTGTTTTCCAGAAGAAAGCAGATCCTGAGTCCCCAGTGCTGCAACCTGAGCCCCAGCTGGGGTGCAGTTATGTGCCCTGTGGATGGTTGCACCCTCTTTAGAGGGAAAATCTCCTTCTTCTGGATCTCTTCTGAGGCACTAGAGCAGAGCAATTGCCCTGGTTGTGGCAGTGGCATCTTTAAATGAGGTGGTTCAGGCCCCAGGAGCATCTCAGGGTAGACCAGTCCTCCAAGCAGCCACCCAAGTACTAATTTTCTTAAGAGTGTGGTAGCCCTCACTAATCAGTGCATTATCACAATTAGCCAGTTATTAACACTGCCATGAGTAGCTTGAACAGCCAAAATGTGCTAGCTCTTTCCTTAAAGCATCATTGTAGCCCTATAGTAAGCAGCTCTCCAGGCTTCTCAAAGAGCATTTGAACACAAGCGCTGCAGTTAACTTGCCATTGAATATATCTGCATTAATTGCTTGCATTATTAACAACGGAATGGCTGCCTAATTAACTCAGAGCAGCACAGGCTACTTTGCTAAATGTTAATTAAATGCTTCAGTGGCAGACTGTATTTTTACAGCTTCAAAGGGAACAAACCTACTGGGTATTGCAGCCAATTTCCATTCAATTTATAAAACTGTTCAGTTCTCAATCATAGCTCTGCTCCAATATTCCACCAACCAGTCTCTGGAGAAGATATTTCATTTAAATCTTTCCCAGCTCCTAGGAAAACCAAGTTGTTTCTTTCCTTCTTTTTTTTTCTTTTTTTTTTTTTTTTTTTTAATTTGAATTTACTGCCCAGCTAAACTAGAAGCACCTGTGTCTGTTGATGATCTAAATTCATTAAAGTGAAAAGAAAAAGAGAGACCATGGATATTTAGTTTAAGCCAATAGAACTCCTTTCATGGTCTTGGCTTGCTTCAATTACAAAAGAAAATATTTTAGTTTAAGCCAGTGGGAGTCAACATACAGCTGTTTTTTAGCAACAAACATCTGATTGTTTATGGTGGAAATTGTGTGTTTGACATTTGCTCTGTAACTATACTTCAAGTGATAAGTTTTGGGGCAATTTCTCAGCTCCTCCAACCTGAGTAGTGTTGGATATGAATGATGAAAGAATGAATGAACAAATTAATAATTAATTAAGATATTACCCCCTGTAAAAATAATGAAAACATGCTAAAAATCCAGAAAGCAGCAAACCTCACAGGTCACTCCAGGCTCTTCTTTTTTTTTTTTTTTTTTTTTTTTTGTGGTTAATGGGGAAAAAGGCAGCTGCAGAGAATGTTTTATTTGGCACACCTTAAATTTCTGTCTTAAAATGAGATTAGCCACCCAATAGAGATGCTTTTTTCTCTCCATCAGTGATAAAGGGAGCCTGGAGTGATGGTCTGAGACCATAATCTCTAGTTTTGGGACACATAAACCAGAGCAGATGAGTTTCACCCACTCTGCCTCCTGTGTCTGACCTGGAGGGAAGAGCAAAGATACCAACAGGCAATAATTTCCTATTAGCAATAAAATTATAATTTGTGGCATCAGTTTCAGTGTCCTAAAGTTCCTGTACCAAAATCATGGAATCATACAATAAAATCTTATTAATTGGTCTATTCTTTTACAATGAAGGTGGTATTCAGTCCAATATTTAGCCCCCTGCATGGCTTGAGCCTCACACTAAGCACATGGATGGAGCTAGGACCAGTATTGGATTATTTTCACATAAGCCTCTTGCTCCAGTGGCTGGTTATGAACCATTTCACATCCCAAGACAACATAAATCCGCGATACCTTGGCGTAACACTTCATCTCCGTGAGAAAGTGAATCAAAGAGCCCAGCTCATGATTGTCATGTAGCAACTACCATTTTTGTCCTTAGTTATTGAAAAGCAGTGGAACTATGAGAGATACAACAGCTCCTACTCCTTCCTGCAGGGCTAAGCCAACTGCTGTGATATTGGGATGCATTTTGTCCTCGACTTTCATTGCATTGAGCTATCTTTTTGTGCTTTCCTTGAAAGCCAACGGTCTCATCGTTTAACAGTCTCTAGTAAATATGATGCTAATTTCCTGGCAAATTTTTTCTCAAATGGGAATAGAGGATTTCCTGCTTAGCTGAATGCTAGAGTGCTTTTAGGAAAACAATAGATCTTGATTTAAAAGTGGTTAGAGAAAAAGCATGTACTCCAATTTCCCCAGTAAGTTGTTTCCCTGTCACTGTTAAAAATGCATTCGTATGTAGTCTGACCTTGCCTTGAGTTCTTCCCTAGCTACTGGGTATTTTTTTTCTCTGTCGTGGTTTTACACCACACAGCCACTCGCTCACCCTCCCCCCACCTCCTGGTGTTGGGGAAGAGAATTAAAGGGGTAAAGGGAAAAGGCTCAGAGATTTAGATAAGAACAGTTTAATAACTAAAGTACACTAATATTGTAAATAATAACAATATGATACTAATAGTAATATATACTAATACACAAATGAGTGATACACAGTGACACTGCTCACCACCTGATGACCAAGGCTCAGCCCATTCCCAGCCAACAATCCCAGAGCAGGGAGAGTCCTGAAACTGCAATCCCAGGAAAGAGAGAAGAGCCCGAGTGTCCAAGAGACTGAGACGACCCTCAGAGAGGGGCGACCTGGAGGGACACAATGCAGAGCAAGAGAGAGAACTTCTGGACAGAAGCTCACCTCTATACTGGGCATGCCATTCATGGTATGGAATAGACCATTGGCCAGTTTGCGTCTCAATCCTAAACTTAAGATCAAATCCTGGGCTAGTACCTGGGCTGTGTGCTTTCCAGCTGTGGTGTGTTACCCATCTGCATGCTGCCAGATGTTGTGCTGCCAATAACACCACATGCCCACCTTGCTTTCCTTTTGTAAGACAACTAAAAGCTCAATTACCCTCAGCTTGTGGCTGACTCTCATGGAAAATAAAAGATAAAAGCCTCCTGATTGCTTCCCCAATTACAGGTTTTTACAATTTCATGGTGGTTTAGGCAATTCACTTCAGCTTCAGCTGCCCCATCCTGTTGTGACATTTCCATGGCCCCGAGTGTGATTCCGCTACAATGCCTCCACAGCAAACTGTTTAAGTGGAGTCATATTTTTTGACAGCAAAACTCAGCAGAGGGAGAGAGGAGCTGCTACACTTTCCTTGGTAACTTTACACCAACCTCAAAACGCTCAGAAAGGTGTTTTACTGCTTTCCTTTTCTCTTTTGTGATGTGGAGAGGTCATGCAGAGCTTGTGCCTGGTTAACACGAGCCATCTTTATGTAAGAGAGGCTGGACAGGTACAGGACAAACTTTTCGGGAGTAAAATTTACGCCAGCAAATGGTCTGTGTGATGTGTTGTGAAGGCTGCCTGCAAAATGGTTTTACTCCTGGTGAGTGAGAAATGCTCACACTTGGAACCAAAGTTACAGATTATTTCTCTCATTTGGATTAGTCTCAAAGGTCTAGTCATTGCTCATGGGGATATAAAGCCAGAGGAGATTAGCTGAATTTTGAAGTGTACAGAAAGTTGGATGCTTGCTCCTTTTTCATGCCATTGATGAGGCGTTGGGGAACTCCAGTTAAAATAAGAGACAGAGCACATCAAACTGATCTCACAACATCTATCCAAGCACAAGGCTTTGCCTGCCTGCACAACCCATTCCTGTAAGGTATATAAACAAGGTGAAGAAGTTAGGTACGTTGAAAATTTGAGCTTTTACTTAGAATAGAAGAATCCCTCAAACTATTTTAAAGATGCCTACAAAAAAGCAACTCAAAAGTTCATAGAGACCATGAGATCTCATGCTTCTCGACATGTGTTTATGACCTATGGGCCAACTAATTTTATGATTACCTGTTTCCAAATTTCATTGATTTTTTCCTTGAAGTTGCTGCTTTGTTGTTGTTGGAAGTGGTACCTGGATGAACCAATGATCTGCTGTAGCCTGTGAATTCCTAGTCTAAGAAACCAGCCGACAGTGATTTCATTACTATGAATTGTCTGAATCGTGATTAGATTTGCAGATGGAAATTCTGAAATAATATATAGGTTTAAGCATGAAGGGACAATATTTCCTACTAGGAGTAAAAGCATCAGCCGCATCCTTAACTCATGTAAAGAAGCCTAGCTCAGGCAAAGAAGCATGATGGAATTGCAAGAACATGAAGAGGGGATTTAGGAGATCTGGGTTCAATTCTTGGCTTGTGCTAAATGGATTTGGGTGAAAGTCAGTTAAGGCATATATTGAGCTCTTGCTCTGCATCTATTTTGAAGGGTTTACAGTGTTTCCGTGCCAAACTCCTCATTGCTTGCTTCAGCTGGAGATCCACAGCACCAGCACCTGCCTAACACAAAAGTGAATGGTTAACATGTATTTTCAGGAACTTCTAGCAATAACACACTGTTGAAGGGTGATGGTACATCTTAATTGCTGCCACTTCCAAAGCAACAATGAATTTAAGGTTGGTGATGCTCTGATGCTCAGAAACGCTGGTGGCATATATAGTTGAAAGCAATGCTTTGCATTGGTTTTGGTGGGAAAGACATACTCAGTCCTTTACCACAACTCTGCTGAAGAGTGGTGATTCTTTATTTTCAGGTAACTCAATTGCTTTAGGCTGTGGGACCATATCCCTCAGGGAGGTACTTCCACTGATGTAAATGGCTACATGTTCTCACAGGAAGAAATTCTGAAATTGATTTTTCTTCTTGCTGTCTCCCCATTGTAAATGGGCCAGCCTGTACTAGGCAGAGATCTGCTGACTAAACTGAGTACTCTTACTTCCCTCTCTCTTTTCCCAGTTATCACGCTCTGCTGTATCTTCAAGTGCCGAATTCCCCGGACAAAGAAAGAGATTGAGGCACGATATGCTCAACGGCAAGCAGCCAAGACGTATGCAGACAAACTGGACACTGTGCCACCGCTCAACGAGCTGACAGAGATCCCTGGAGGTACTTCCCGTGCCCACACCTACACATGAGACCTGTTGCTTCCTTTGGGGTTCCTTTCTGTATGCACGAATGCAAAGGGTTAGGTCCTCAGTGTAAATCAATGTGGCTTCTTGGGTCCAACCATTAAGATATTGCCATTCCCATTCACATGCACTAAACTTGCAACATTTGTGGCAGGAGGCATGGTCATTTAGATGAAAGGGACAGTTTCTCCATTGGTACAAGTCAAGGTCATTCCTTTGAAGTTCATGTTTAATATTTCAAGATAGACCGATTCATTTTAAGGGCCAGTTCCTGGGTTGGGGGGTGTCAGTAGGAAGAAAAAGAGTTGTTTGTTAGAGTTTCATGTTACCCATTAATGGCTTGCCCCATTTGGATGGCCAAGAATATTTCTGTCACTGGTATCTGCTGCTCTCACTCATCTTTCCTGATTCTGTACCCTAGGCTCTACTGAAACTCTCCTAACTCTCTCTGGCCATGTCCAGTCCAGACCTCTCAACTCCCTGCCTGTGCTGAAAGAGGAAGATGAAATGGCCCTGCAAGGAAATTAGGGGACTGCCTTCCTGTCTGTCTGTCTTTGGCTTCTCTTCTCTGATTAAATCCATCACACCTTGGACTCTGCTTCTCAGTTCCCTTTCTGTGTTTCGCCTCTGTTTTCTCAATACCTTTTTTATGATTCTTTTTTTTTTTTTCCTCTTTCCTGTGTCTCTGCAAGCCCTGATGTCTGTATCGTCATGGAAACTGGGAGTTTCCTTGACTCCAAATGTGGTGCTTTGGTCCATGAAACTGGTGAAAGAGGCAGAAAACATAACTGTAGAAATTTAGTCCTACATCAGCAAAATACGTAACTAAGTGCTTAACAGCAGGAACTTGCACATGCCTCAGTATTTCAGAGGTGTTCATACATCTGATTCTGCCCATACCATAAAGTGAGGGTGGCCAGACCACTCGCTGGAGCTGAACACAATTGACACAAATAAGCCCTGGTCCATAGAGTTAAATTCTCTTAACCTACTTCAAAGACAAAGGTCATCCAAAAGTCTAGTTGATGCACCCTTACATATATGAGCCATCATTCATGGAAGTGATGAGCATTGTATCCTTCAATTTCCTGCCCAAAAGGCCAAATTCTGACTCTGTAAGGACCAGCTATCAGTAGATCCCAGAGGATGTTAAGCATCATGCGTGTGGATAGCAGAAAGCCAAGTTCACTCATTTGCTGCTGCATCCATCTTCCTGCCTGGCTGTTACTTCTGGAAAACCAATAAATTAAGGCTGAGAATATCCAGAAGAGACAGAAAGGGTATTTGGGCAGCAGAATGTCCACTTCACCCCAGAATGCTGATAAATTCTGATCTCCTGTAGGCAGCCTTTACATCCTACAAGCATGTACGTGTGCTCCATCCAAAGGCTGGCTATTTTGGTGTAGATTTTATCAGACCATGATAAATTATTGCAGCATGAACTCAAGAATAAATTATGGCAAGAAAGCAATTTATGGGAAGTCACTTGCACCATAAAGACTACCTAAACTTTTATGGAGTTAAATGTGTAAGTTGAATCGTTGAGCGCCCTTTCACTTTTTGAGAATCGCAAAATTATGGTCCTGGCACAGTGCAGGGTGGGAGGCTCATGGATAACATATTGCTGAGAGGCTGCTGATGCCTGGTAATGGCTCATGAATATATGTGTTCTGAAGGTCCTAGTCCTCTGGGGTCAGATATAAATCTGCCCAAGTTGCCCTGAAGGAGTTGATACTGGGGTGGGAGTCATCTAATCCCGAGTACATTATCCACATCTATGGAGAAGTCTTCATCAGCACTCGTTGTTCCAAATTTATCCCTTTATCCACGATGGAAAATAAAAAGGATGTGATTCCTTTCATGGCAGCAGAGGTGCTAAAGTGGAAGAGGTAAATTGTGCCTTAAAAATTCCTCTGTATCTCTGGTTTTGGAGACCCAAAAGGACTGACTCAGAAATCAGTGCCTGAAGTGTTAGATGCAAAGTGTGTGACCAACCCCACTGGTTTGCCCTCCTTCTGAGGTTACTCTGCATCTTGTCCCCCAAAAAATTCCCCTACGTGATTTAGGCGTTACAATGGAGAGGATGCGAACCTTTGGGCTTCATCTCTGTGCCGTGATTTCCATCTGTACGGAGCGTGATGCTCTGCCGTGTTGCCCCACTGACATTTGGCAACCTGCCTTGATTTATGCAGTCATGAAATATCATGTATGGATTTGTCAGCTGTCTATATACTGTGACAACCCCTGGTAGACTCAGTCAAGGCCAGAGAGATGACTTGGGTGATTTTAATTACTGAGTAGCCATTAAATGCTTTAAAGATTTCTGTAAGTGTCAAACGCTATATCAATCATTAATACATTACAGTGCTTAAATACTCTAATTTCTTGGCATTATTTTACCCTACGTCATGTTTACTGTGATGGAATATTCTAACTGCCAGATGGCTCTCTGTGCACTTTTTTGAGTGTTGTGTCTGGCAAGCCCTTTTACTGGATATAAATAAAATGGACTTTAGGGTTCAGTGTATAAAATGTTCTATACAGATTGGTTCGTTTGTGCTCTGTCCCCTGGTCTGTGGGAGAAGCACAAGCAGGACTTGGCCTTTTCTCTAGGTGAAGATGTACTGTCTGGGTCCATGGCCTGGGAGATCTTCAAGTATTCTGATCTGTTCCAGTTGATATTTTTGGCAGTTCACCTGGTTCCTACCATATTTGTCCAGGAAGGAGACAACATGGTATTTTGGTTTTATTTTAATTCTATCCTCTCCTTTTTTTTTTTTTTTTTTTTTTTTTTTGTTTTTTTTTTTTTTTTTTTGGGGGTTTTTTTTTGGGTTTTTTTGTTTTATGTTTTTTTTTTTAATGAGATGTCAGGACTTCCCATGTGGTTGTTCTACTTCCATTTATGTCTACAAGTGAATTGCCAATTCCCCAGGCCAAAGGACAATTTTTTTTTTTTTTTTTTTAGTGTGCACGCTGAAGCAACATTTTAGGTAAACGTAACAAATTCAGGTTTGATTTACCCCTGTAATACATTGCTGTAATCCTGAAAATGGGAGATTTGTGGCTGCTTAAACAAATTGGAGTTCAATGGCTCCAGGTAAGGGTTGAGACATCTCAACAAATTACCTCCTAAACCAGTTCACCATCATCTTTTCTTAGCCTGTGACAACTGTGAAATAATTTGACTTAGCCTAGGTGCTAGCTGAAGAAAGCTATAATGGAAATCCTCCACTTGCTGAGGTCACTCCCAGGTCATTGCTACATCTTGGCTGATGTTAATGATGAAGTTGTATTAACATGGTTATCTATTTACATTTCTGAGTCCTATATTAGAGATTTTCAGAAAGGAGGTCATGGGAAACAAGGCATTTTCACTTGTTTTTTGCAAAACTTTATACTCTGCTGGTCTTGAGCAAAGGAAAAACTTTCCGTGAGAAATATAGATGAAATATGATATGAGTTTAAGTGTCAAGTTGCAGCTTGAGATGAGAGTTCAGTGCATCAAGCTCTGAGGTCAGAAATACATTTGAGAAAAGCAACTACTTCTAGAAGAAAAATAAGAAAGAGGAGGAAAGGTTTTTCTGATACCAAATCCTTTGTCAGAATAATCAGTCTGCAGAGCCAGTGTGATACTTGTCAGGCTTCTCACCTGAAATGTAGGCACTTAAGCCAAGATATTCCTAAATAAAAATATTTCATAGGTAAAGAGAAGTTGCCCAGAGAAGCTGTGGATGCCCCATCCCTGGAGGGGTTCAAGGCCAGGCTGGATGAGGCTTTGGGCAACCTGGGCTAGTGGGAGGTGTCCCTGCCCATGGCAGGGGGTGGAACTGGGTGGGCTTTGAGGTCCCTTCCAACCCAAACCACTCTATAACTCCACAATATTATAAGCTTCCTGTAACAAATATGGCTTGTGCGTTAAAACGTACAAACCCAGAGGTTACTATGCACTAGAGCGAGTTGCTATCTCATGGTATGTTGCTGCCATGAATTCCAGTGGTACAGGTAGGAAGCCAGTCCCATGGTGACTGGATGTGGACAGGACATAAACTAAGCCTACTTTGTAGTCCAGTGCTGGGCAAGCAACCTTCTGCTTGTCTGTCTCTGAGAGCAAAGATCTCCAGCAGAATCCTTGCTGTCCACTCTGAGCTGCAGGAGACATACCCCATATAGGAAAACAAAGAACTAGAAAAGCCAACCAATGAAAAAATAAACAAAAAACCAACCCAAACCCAAGCCAGGTCTGTACTGAGTTACATGAGAGATGTTTCTCTTCCTTCTTGTGGAAGGAGACAACTCCACATTGAATGTCATTATTGGGAAATGCTTATGGGCTGTGCTTGTCATGTTCACGGATCAGTTCCTACCAACAGGAGCCATTTCCTCCAATAGATCCCTAACCCAGCTCTTGAAAGTACCAGTTCTGCTTTATCCCATTCATCTATCTTCTTAAAGACACAAAAAGCTGGTAGTCAGTGAGGAAAACAGCTGTATGGACAAAGCCCCAGTAGAAGGATTTTCCCTTTGTCCAAGATTCGCCAGCAAGGAGCAGGAGTTTTGCTCTCTTCCTGGCTGGTGCCAACCCAAGTTAACTGCTTTCCTGTTTTCTTTTTCCATCTTTGTGTACAGCTCAGGTTACAGAAGAAAAAAAAGAAGAAGTTCCCACTGTATCTGGAAAAGTGGACAAGGCTCAGAGTAAGAAAGATGGATCCAAAGGCTCCAAGAAGAAAGGTGGTGAAAAGGACCAGAAAGAAGGATCCAAGAAAGAAGGGAAGGATGGAGCCAAAAAGAAAGAAGGAGAAAAGGGAGAAAAGGGAGAAAAAGGAGAAAAGGGGGGAAAGGACACTACTGACAAGAAACAAGGTGGTGGGAAGAAGGGTGAAAAAGAAGGTGAAGCAGCAAAATCAGGAGGAAGCACCAAAACTAATGGCAAAGCTGGTGGGAATGCCAAAGCCCCAGCCAAGAAGAAGTGACTTTGCTCAAAGATGGTGCTGGTGGTCTTTCAGGGAGGACGCTGTCAAGTTGCGGTGGGTAGAGCACTGGGAGCAGATAGGACGTGCTGTGTCCATATGCTCAGGCTGTTGAGTGCCACTGGATGTATGGATTTACTACCTTTTGAAGACCAAGTCACTCTTTTTTTTTTTTTTTTTTTTTTTTTTTTGTCCACCAAACGCAAACGTGGCCATTTGGCCAGACAGTATCTTGTAAATAAAATGCACTTTACAATGTGTTAACTGGAACCAAATTGCGACCTGGGGTAAGAATCAGGACTTTGGATAAGCGTGGAGATGAACAAAAATGAAGATCTAAGCTAATGAGAGGACATGACTCATTTAAAATTTGTACTTCTTGAGGACCTTAAGGAGTTTGATAAATATTTACTAGCAGTCACCTCCTCCTAAATAGGAGTTGCACATGGCTAATTTTAGGGATTAAGTAAATTCTGGAGTTCTCAAAGTCATAGCTCATGTGGTTTCGGAGAGGTGGCTTGGACCCATGGGAGAAAGCTTTCCTTCCTTCTCAGGTGCCTCTTCCTCTGAACTGCTGAAGGAAATAGAAAGAACTGCATATCTCCCAGAAGATTTATCCACCTTTTTCTCTTTTCTGACAAAAGACGTATAAATCAAGCTGTAGGAGGATGTGCACAAAAGAAAAAAAAAAAAAAAAAAAAAAAAAAGCAGACTGCGTCTGTGCTGGTGGAGGCAGTAGCTGTCCTCAGCTCCTCATCCCTTCAGGAAAGGCAGCAGATGAGAGGAGCCCAGTGGGACGAAGGAGATGTGAAGATGCTCAGCGTGTTGCAGCAGAAACTCAGGATCTCAGGGGAGCTGGGCTGAACGCGTTCACGTCTTTGCTCTCTCCCTGAGTGGTTTTGACAGCAGGGATTTTGCTACGTTTTTATGTGTCTGCTGTTTCTCTCGCCTCCTGGGAAATTCTGAAGAGCAGTTTTATCAGGAGCAACTTTTCTCCTGGCGTGTTTTGTAAATATCTCAGAAATGGATGCCTTCAGATTAGCAGCCGTGGGGTATTTAGCTACAAAGCCAATGGGGATAATTTGCAAGCTATCGTGATGGCTAAGGCTCTACCTATCCTCTCTGCTGGATACACCATCTCTGAGTATACACACTGGCATGGCTTTGTCTGCTCCATGGGGCAAGGAGGGAGTTATCTCCAGTAGTTTATTCAGCTCAAGCCCCTTGAGTTAGATTTATTCATCCATCAGCTTTCTATTCACCCTGTGGTTTCAACACAGCCAGAGAGCTGATCTATCCCTGCAAAGATATTTCCCATTTGTCTCACATTTCCATTCCCCTTTTTCCTCTCCTACTTATCCCATCCTGGTAGAAAATGGACCCAGCAAATTGAAAAGTGGTTTTTTGTTTTTTTTTTTTTGCTGTGTTAATGAGGTCAGTCAGTTCATAAAATCCCCAAAAGCACCAGAGCTTTGAAGGGATGGTGTAGGACTTGAGGAACAAGGGTGAGAAAGATGTTCACAACCACAGAAATATTTACTTGGAGCATGAACAGTGCCAGTTCATAGCCTCCAGGTAGGATCTGCCGTGCTAGAGGAGAATTTCAGGAATTCTGCCCTCTATGCAGACAAGGGGTTGGAGCCTAACGCAATGATAGTGGATGATGAGTGTGAATATGTACGTTATGGACACTTATGTTAAATCTCTGAATCTCAGTCCCATCCTTAGTTTTTCAAAGCCTGAAGATGAGTGGGGATTAGAGCTTCCACGCAGGAGCAGAGGACCTGTGGTCTCAGATGTCCAGGTTTATGGCTCAGAACATCTCCTGAGCTATAGGCAAGACCAGGAAAAGGGCTGTCATCCACTTTTTTTTTTTTTTTTTTTCAGCAAAAAGGAATGCAAGAGTCATACAGCCAGCTGGGAAGGAGGCAACCCTGCCAGGAGCACAGGTCTGTAATCCAGCCTGTGTGTAATACCTGGTGAGATCTCATTTCATATTAACACACCTTCACCAGGGACCTGCGGAGACTCCTAGAGCCAGAGTTAATGAAAGCACCTTGATTCCAACCTGCAGAAACACGAAAGGTGTCAATCGTTATATTCCGGTCACCTGCTTTCTTCTGTTCTCTCCCTGTTTAACTGATTTTTTTCATAAGGTGTCAAACAGAAAGAAAAGGAAAAAAAAAATATTTTTCAAATTGCATTCAGGCCATACTATTTGTGTGCACAGATGTCAGTCCTTGGGAAGTGACCAAGGTTGCATCAGCTCTCTGTGTATTGTGGGGGTAATTCTGCCCTATAAACTCCACAGGTAAAGCTACTGTAGGACGGGATCCAGCTGTGAGTGCGGCAGGAAGGACTGCTTCCCTGTCCTGTGGCTGGAAATACATTGTGGTGCTGTTAATCCTGTTGTTAAAGCTCCTTGGGATGTGCAGAATGAGGATGCTGACTCAGTCTGTACCTACTGGGTGAGAGGGAAGAGGGACAGACCTCTTCTTGATCTGCAAGCTTCAATGAAGATAATCTGTCTCTTAATTTTGTCATTAAGCTCACTGTCATAGAGTAAACTAGTACTCCCACACCAAAGGAAAAGGAAAAGGAAAAGGAAAGGAAAAAGAAAAAGAAAAAGAAAAAGAAAAATAAAAAGAAAAAGAAAAAGAAAAAAGAAAAAAACCCTGCATCTGGGACTGCTGGGCTGGAGCCTTTGCAATTGATTTTAATTAATTTCTACCAAGATCAGACAGAAAATAGATTCAAAGTCTCACATATGGGATCACACTAGTTTGTGGTCATGTTTTACTATTAAAAAAAAAAAAAGTTGTGTTAAAAAAATATGTTTTATCTCTGGGAAGAATGAGCCCTGGGTGGCCTTGTTTCTAAGCTGTCAGAGTGACTGTGGGGGGAATGAAGGGACTACGTTACTGGGGGCTGCAGACTTTGGGGAAACATCCTGCCTGGCAAAACTTCTCCTGATGACCAGAGTGGGCATTTTCCCCTAGCTCGTATTATGGTGGTGGTCAGGTGGAATCTGAAAACCAGCCCACAGCAGGTGTAAAAGAGCTCAGCTGGAGGGGAGCACGCTGACACCAGCTGCTTTTTGCACCAGCAGATGGAGAAATTGCATTGGAAAAAAAGAAAAATCCATCCACAGCTGCTGGAGCTTCGCAAAATGAATCGTTAGTGATGAGATTGGAGATAGGGTAATTCCTCTGAAAACCCACCAACAAATCCCAGAGGCCAAAAGTAGGATTTAAAAGCCAAGGCTCAGACATCCAGGGAGGAATGAGTGTGGCTCTGCTTTCGTTAGAGTATCCTGATGGTGTGGGCATGGCAAGGGTGGTGGAGAGGAAAGAAACCGAGATACTATGGAGCCAGGGTGAGGAAGGACTTGCAGGATCTCCTACTAGACACATTCTGTAAATTTCCACTAGAGGGGACCTTGCTCTTCCTCTGCAATATCTGGAGACAGTTTTAAAGGTCGTTTGTGCTGGATACGTTTAATTTGTGGTGTTAAATGAAGCCTGGCTTTGATAACATCTCTTCTTTGGTCTAAAGAAGAAAGACATTCATGGCATTGGTTTGTCTACCAGAGCCATCATAGCTTCTTCCAGAATTGTTTTTTGTCTGGTTAATAGAGGAAAGAGTTCAGTTAATAGAGGAAAGAGTTCAGTTCATAGCTTAATACCCCAAGGACATCATTGATACAAGAGATTATCAAGAAAATAGTTATAAAAAAAAATAGACATTGGCTTTGGTAGATAAAACTTAAGCCAGCCTAGCTAGGTGTCCCCGAGGGGTTGCGGTGAGGATCGTAAGTCTGGATGAGCAGGTCAATAGGAGGAGATGGGAAGATGAAGGTTTTTTAAATTTTATTCCTGCTTTATTTGGGAAAGAAGCCCATGGAAAAGCTGTCTGCATTATTTTCCTCCTGCTCCCTTTTCAGGGAAAGCAGTGAAAGAGTAAGCACAGGTTCAGTGCCGATGTGCCAGGAGATGCTATACACAAGGTGCATCTACTGCTAGGAAATTTTGTTATATCTTTCCAGTGCTAAATTGTAGCTTTCTCTGAAAGATTAAATCTTCAAGAGTAATTACAGCTGCCCCCGAGGTTCTCAAAGAAAAATATGGTCTTTTTGTTTGCTCTTTGTGTATTTTCTTGCACAGTGGGACTCTGAACAAGAACGGCTGTTTCTTATTGATTTCATAATACAGATCTAAATATTAGAAATGTCTTGGTTCTGCCTTCAGAAGGCAAACTCTCTGTGCTCAGCTCCCTTTTGAGACGTAGCAAAGCATCAATCTGGATCACCTGTGGATCCTGAGCACCTGGTTAGACCCATGGAGAAAAAACGAGGTCTTCGCTGGGATTGGGAGATAACCCTTCCATCCAGTGACATGTGAAGTCCCAAACTCAAAGCAGAACTGTTAAAACCATGGGGTTTTTTTTCCTTCCAGTGGCCAAAAAAAATAAAAGGATCAACCTCTAAATATTTCCAGGACTGGAGATGGAGCTTTTCATCAGCAGGTCAGGTTGGTCTTTATGTTATTGATGTGGGTGACTATTTTCCAAGAGATAGGGTTTTGTAGGCTTAAAGAAAAGGGTCTTTTTCAAAAAGAAAAAGCTGCAGAAGTTTTTCTTTCCATCTTTTCCTTTCCTTTTCTTTTTTTTTTTTTTTTTTTTTCAGTTGGAGGGAGAAACTGGAGTCCTTTAAGCATGTTCCTGCAGATGCACCAGGCGGCTAAACCCCTTCATAAATACAACTCCTAAACCCCTAAGGTGTCTCAGAGATGCATCAGACAATAACTGTGAGATAACTCTGGCTCTCTACTGTTCCTCATCTCATATGGCATTTTGCACAGCACTCCCCTCCTTTCTACGCATAGACTCAGGAGAATTTTATGGTCCTAATCTTTTCTGGCTAAACAAAACCCATCTTCTGCGTTTGCTGAGTCCCTCAGCCCGGACTCCTGCAGACTGGGAAGTGTCACGCAGGGTAACTGGGGCACAAAAGGCAATCTGCTTAATGTCAGAAACAAAATATGGGACAATGGATGGGACCTGAGCACTGATCTTGTGAAAGAGGGCTTTGTGCACATTTCCTTCTTAAGATGCTCCAGGGATTTGATCTAAAATAATAGTGGCGAAGCCTCCCTGAACTTCACTATCTTCTCTGACCATAAAACTGCCTGTCGAAACCAAGTTATTTGCAGGGAGGTCATAGGACACAATAGAAATTCTCCTACTGAAGACACAATGGAAATACATGTTCCCTTTCAAAATCTGCTGTTGAGAAACTAAAGAGGTGATACAGTGCGCTAGAGGAACTCGTTTTTGGTTTGAAGAGAGGTGAAGGGGAAAAGGAAAACAAGATGGAAATAAGTTTGTGATTTGCCTTTCCTCGAGCTTTTACTCACAGCTCTCTCGAGTCTGGGATTCTGGGGAAGTCTCCTTTTAGCTGGAGACTGGGAGAGTCCTCCAGGAACCCATCAGTCCATACTTGACCTGTTCTTTTTGACTTTTCTGGGCATTTTTGTTCCACCATCCATGACAATGGGCTGCAGGGACCTTTGGCTGGTCTAATGCTGAAGAGATACTGAATTTTGGTGGCCTTGGGGACAGACAACCTATTCTTGTCATCTTCTGCAGCGTGTCCTGCTTGCTGCCTGTTCTCTGCAGCCGTTTGGAGCCATGGCTTCCAAGCCCTTTGGTGGCTGGTCCTGCCTTGCTGCCTCTCCAAAACTGAGACCCATTGTGGTGGTCTCTACCTGATACTATTTCTAGCATTCAAAGACCTTTTTTCCATCCCCTCGCACATGAAAAGTCTGTCTGTGGCTGACCAAGCAAGCTCTGGACCGTTTGTTCCT